ATGAAGCAGAGACAGAAGCCTTGGCAGCAGTTTGATTTCTGAAATCAGGTTGGTTGCTCCAATGTCAAGGAGCACTTTCTCTGATCAGTTCATTCATTTGTAGGGTTTTCAGCCGACCTGAGGTGTTCTGTACTTATTCTGTATAGGATCTATGGACTGATGTGATTAGAAAAAAAGTAGTTTATGGACCTGAATATGCCTTTACTCTCTCAAGTACAAATCAGGAGTAAGATAAAATTAGTGCGAGAATGAGACCCATATTTTTTCAGTTACACCCCAATCAAGATTATATTGTGGGAGTGGGAGAAAAATACAAACTAGTAAATCATATATGCTGCTTAGACATTGAATTGCTTTCCTCAAAGTTAAATAAATTGTGCGTGTTTGGGAGAACCATAATGCAAAGGCAGAGGTGTCAGCAGGATACAATTAAGTTGTGAATTGCCAAGCAGAGATGTAATACGGAAAACCCTTATCTGTTGTGAGCAATTCTATTTAGATTACTCATGAACATTTCAGTCAAACTTCTCACAAGTACCATTGAGGAGAACTTCATTGGCTCTCCTGTAGCTATTTCAGCTTGCTTCCCTGAAATAATATTACATTTGTGAATGTATCCATTTCTGTATATATTCTCTTTTCCCTCATATATGTTTGCTTTCACTTGTGAATCTCATGTTCGTGTTTTTTTTATCTTGTCTTTAATGAGCTGTAGCTCGTTGCAGTGTATTATGTATTATATTTAAAATACCAGTGCAGATATGCCACGCTCTATTAAATGCAAGAACATCTCTTATATATGGAGAAATGAATCATTTCCAGGGAAGGAAGTTAAAATTATAATTCAACCAAGGCAATTCTGTTCTTTGTTTTCAGACAGGAAGTGCACTATCTTAAGGACATCTGAATCTCATCTGTAATTACAAAGTTGTCATTCCTTTATACAAATAATATAATTAAGTAATGCAAACCGTTAACAGAATAAAAGAGGTTAAATTGCCTTTTTTCACTCAAAACAGTTTCTAACTAGTTCCTGACAGAAAGTTGTCCTAATACAATGCCTTATTGGCTAGTCTCACTATTGAGACTATTGTCGATGGGCTAAGCTACGAAGGCTGGAGGTGGGTGGGTACACTCCCGACTAGTCGCTATTCAGAGATTTTGGGTGTCCATTTTAGAAACAAACAAAAGTATCATTTGCCTGATGCAATATGTGAAGTGATCTTTTTCCTGTGCAAAGCCTGTGTTTCTTCCTCTTCAGGACAGAACTTTAGAGACCAAATCATATACTGCAGAAAATATTTGAAGGTTCAGCTTTAGAAAAGGAAGAAACAGGAACATGCTTTCATGTTTCCCAAGGCCATTTTATAGAATTCCTGCTTTCCTGGACTGTTACAGACAACAGTCTGTAACAGATGACCATATCGTTTCTTGAGTATATATTCACTGAGAATGGCTAGTTAATCTTGATTTCCAAGATCAAGACCCTAAATACAAGACTCTTGTATACAAGGCTGTCAAATACACCAGAAAGCTGCTGCGGTGCCCGAAGAGTCAGTGCGGAGGCTGCAGCTGAGCAAGCGGGAAAGCTGGTGCTTGTTCTTCATGAACGGTGGCTCCACAGATCATGGTCCAATCGTCTCTGTTCACTTCTGAATGGCAAATAAGCCTTCCTGACTGCAGAAGTTAAACCACCTGCGTTGTTACAAATTATTTGTTTTCCCTCAGGTCTATAGGACATTCTATTCTTTTTTCCTGGTGCCATACTAGTGCCTTTAAAGTTTTGTTTTGCTAGTAATAGAAATTTTTTTTAGTTCTTCTTTTGAAATATGGATAAAGAGGTTTCTACGAGCACATACTCAGCAAATGCATCGATATGTTCTAATTAATGAATTAGCCATTCAGTACTACAATAATTCACTTTATCTCTAACCATTCCCAGTGAATTATTTAAATAGTGACATTTCTTCATTAGCAAACTGCCATTTGCATCACTTTTACATTATTGCTCTCATTATTAATTATACTTTTAATAATTCTTTAGTGCTTGGTCTCATCAATAAGGAAAAATGGATGGTGCCAATGGAGCATTTAGCCTTATCTCAATTCTGTATCCCTAACACCATTGCCAATAGCACAAGAGTAGATACATAATGCTTTAACTGGCAGTCCTTCCCTTTTGTATATTCCCTTGTCTCCTTTTCTCTCCCGTATGCCAGTATCCCTGAGTTTGTTCTGTAAAAGCAAAGGATGTTTCTGTATTAATGACTATTTAAATAACAGAATTACATTGCTGCTGTACTTGCTTCTTTCCGTCCCAGACAATGACTATGAATTAATTAGCATTAGAACATTGGAAATTCCTATGAATTTTAACATTTTATTTGGAACAGTCTGTGTGCATTATTGAATGATTTTACACCTCCTAATGCAAAACTGATGCTATCTCTACAAACCTCTGGGGGAGTGTGTGAGGTCATTACAGTTAGATTTGCAAAGAAAATACATGGATTTCTCTCTCACATTATTCTTTCCTGTGCTGATAATGCTATTTTTGAGCTCTTGCTCAAAGTGGCTCATTTGTATTGAAAGATTCTCTTATCCTTTATCCTATTCATCTGCCTTTCCAAACTTTTCATTTCATAAGGGAAATGAACTGTGTTTTTTCAATACTTAAAACATTCTTACAGGAAAATGAGATCTTACGTTTTCAGCTGTTGGTGTTGTCTCCAGAGGCAGTGGTCACTGAAAGGCAGCCTAGCGTGAAAAGCAAATATACATGTCAGAAATGAAAATAACAATTTATACCATGTCTCCTTCCTGTCTTCATTGTTGATAGTTTATTCCCTCCATGAAGGAGGATTCCAGAAGTAACGTTGCTGTTTTGGCCTCCGGGCATCTGTGTGGGAAGAAAAATGATGTTTTATTAAAAATTCTCCCTGGAATCCTAAGCTTGTTCTATATTTCTGCTGACTGTTTATTATTTTATTTTTAAAACAAAGGTTTTTTAAATTCATGGATTCATGGGAGCTCACAACGTAATTAGCACCCTGCCAGTGACTGAGGGAGAAACACTGACAAACACAGTCCCTCCTGAAAGCAATGAATCCCTCTGTACTACCTACTGAGCAAAATCTTAGTTTGTTAAGCCAGGTGGATTGCTTAAATAGATTTTTTTTCCTTCAGAATCAGGTATTACATCCATAACCTACATTTTTCTTTTTTAAAATAAACTTCTTTTTCAAAAGTGAATAGCAACATGTATTTAGGCTTAAACTTACCACTCTGTATTAACAAAATTTGCATAGAATTTATAATATGTAAGATTCTTGATGATTAGGTTCTAAAGAAAGCTATTGAACAGAGAAGAAAAATACTGTCTATGCATCCAGAACCAAAGGTTGTTGAAATGATTAAACAGCTGTTAACAGCAGACAAAAGAAATGTTTTCTTCATTTCAGTCTGATTTACTTCAATAACTAGTTCAAAGTTAAGGAACTGCTTAGAAATAGAGTAAGCCGAAGCATCATTATCTTTAAATGGTCTATGAATAAATTCTCAGTCTGGGATGCTGAGACGTATGAATTCATTCATTAACTGTATATAAAATTTGCTTTGGTAATAAACCAGTTTTACGTATAAAATGTTTGATACATTTTTCCTCTGTATACAACATATTTATTGCAATTTTATTTAGATAATAAATACACTAAAAAGGCCAGGTTTTTGCATTTCAATTGAATTCCCATTTCCATCCAAAGCAGCTTGATACAAGTGGTAAGTAAATAAAAATTAATCATCTGTAAAGAAGAATTATCATTCATTTCTAACAGAATGCTATGTAAGCGTTAAGCATTTGAATAATTATGCTGAACTATATCACTTCTTAAATGGGAATGTAAGGCATTTTTCTGGTAGTGTATGGAAGTAACAGATTAGTTTAAAACCTAGATTCAGTTGCAAAGCAACTTTTTTTTTAAGTTTACCTACCAACAACAATCAAACTCACTTGAGGAAAAAAGAATAATACACATTCAAAATAAGCATAGAAAGGTTTTTTTAAAAATTTGTTTTATGGTTTTCATATCTTCTAGTGAATATGAATTATTTTCACAAAAATAATGTTTGAAAATCTCATAAGAAATAATTTTATATTGAATTCTTTTTGTGAGAAATATTTGACAGGTTTTCCAGAAATATTATAGTTCAGGGCCTTATAAATAGGCAATTCTGCGCTATATGGGAGACAGAATGGCGATACGAACAAACTCCCTACCTTAGGAGCATCTATACTCAGAATTTTAATTCAGTAGAAAATTGCAACATTTCTAAAATTAATTGAATTTCCAACTGGAAGAAAATGGAGTTTTGACATTTTCTACTTACTAAAATTCTGTTTAAAAGCGGTGGAAATATCAAAATAGGCAATACTTTTCCCTCAGTAAGAGTAAAGCAGTTAAACTTTGATGTAACAAGAGTTACATTAATTTATTTTAAAAAGGTAGATTTATGCTTACATTGTTATTGATTTAGTTTATATGTACATGATGCCAGTATTTTAATTAGAAAGACTTGGTTGCTTTATATTAGGCTTCTTTAATGGCTTATCAATATCAGAAAATTCATATTCTTTCTTTAAAACAATAACAACAGTGGGTCCTGTTAAATCACACAGCTGACAGAGACACCTATTCCCAACTTGCTGAAAGCTGTGAATTAAGGAATTCGTTTCAAACCTAAATTTGCTAGAGAAGCTTTTCAGAGTGTAGTTTGCTAGCCACTCTTGTTCGTGTGTATCCAACACGACAGCGTGCTTATAAGGGGAATGAAATCTCAGCAGTAGAGGTCCATTTCTCAGTGCTGACTGAGCTAAAGGAGAAGCAAGAGATTTTGTCATGTGAGTGGTGAAGAGCACATTTAAAGCAGCAAGGATCTCACCGGTTTCAACTAAGTGCTGATATACTAATTATGCCTTAACTGCATCTCCTGTTTCCTCCTAGGTCTTACTGCTGCAGCATCTCTTGTATCCCTGGCTTGGGCTTTGGCTTCCTACCAAAAGGCCCTCCGTGACTCCCGTGATGACAAGAAACCCATCAGTTATATGGCTGTTATAATCCAGTTTTGCTGGCATTTCTTCACAATTGCAGCAAGGGTTATTACTTTTGCTCTGTTTGCCTCGGTTTTCCAGCTGTACTTTGGGATCTTCATTGTGCTGCACTGGTGCATCATGACCTTCTGGATCGTCCACTGCGAGACAGAGTTTTGCATCACTAAATGGGAGGAGATAGTTTTCGACATGGTTGTTGGGATAATCTATATCTTCAGCTGGTTCAATGTCAAGGAAGGAAGGACACGCTGTAGGCTTTTCATTTACTATTTTGTGATCCTTTTAGAAAACACCGCCTTGAGTGCTCTCTGGTATCTGTACAAGGCCCCACCAATCTCTGATGCATTTGCCATACCAGCACTGTGTGTAGTGTTCAGCAGCTTTTTAACAGGCATTGTTTTTATGCTAATGTACTATGCCTTCTTTCACCCCAACGGACCAAGGTTTGGGCAGTCGCCAAGCTGTGCTTGTGAGGACCCTGCCGCTGCCTTCACCCTACCCCCAGAAGTGGCAACAAACACTCTACGGTCCATCTCCAACAACCGGAGTGTCACGAGCGAGCGGGATCAAAAATTCGCGGAGAGGGATGGGTGTGTGCCTGTGTTTCAGGTGAGACCCACCGCACCGTCCACACCTTCATCCCGGCCACCAAGGATTGAGGAGTCTGTCATTAAAATCGATCTGTTCAGGAACAGGTACCCAGCGTGGGAGAGACACGTGTTGGACAGGAGCCTGAGGAAGGCGATCTTAGCGTTTGAATGTTCCCCTGCTCCTCCACGGCTACAGTATAAAGATGATGCCCTTATCCAGGAGCGCTTGGAATATGAAACCACATTGTAAATGGAACAAAAACACAGCTTGAAGAAGCTCCGACATTACAGTCCAAATTAAGGGTTGACAGTAGGGCTGTAGGAATAACTAAACTGCGTACTACAAGTAGAGCAGCAAGCTGTAGTGTTCTTAGTCTGGCTATCATCATGATTATCATTTGATCCACTGTGTGCAGTCTATCTGCAGGACACTGATACAGCAGCGTCACCTGAAAGCCTCAAAAGAACCCAAACCCTGACCCACACATACAGATCAGTTACTTCAGCTGGGGAAACTCACCCACGACTCCGTGCTGCTATGAAACTCTGACTGCACAGTACTTACAATCAAACCAATAGGAAAGCTCTGACCAGAGCTTTCAACTTTAGCCAGTAGTGCATTTTATTTTAGAAATGAATGATTGATATTTGCATCAATGGCAAAAACAAACAAGAAAAACCTTTTCAAAAATAACAAAACTGTAGCACTCAATGTTGCTGTTATGAAAACTGTTTTCTGGGGAAAAAAATAGGAGCATAGTAGTCTTCAACACTCCCATAAATCAATGATTCAGGTTAGAGTAAGTTTGCAAAATAGTTCTTAACTAAAAAGATACATCATCATGTTTGTAAGGCTGTCAATGGAAAGTAAACTAAATTCTGATTAATTAGGTCATAAACATTAATACTACCAGAACTGTTTGTTTTCTGTGGAATTTCAAAGTCTTTTAAAATGCAATTTAAGTTCTTTATGTTACTTTCAACAGAAATCCTATGCAGCTCACTTCTGGTTTTCAGGAGAAATAAGGAGCTCTAGCACGTAGTGATGTAAATTAAATGATAATCATGATTCAGTGTTCAATTTGCAAAAATATATATATATGTGTAAAAGAACAGGGAAGTATAGTTTTCGTATTCTAAACTTTTTGGAGGACCCCATTCAGATATTTCGGAAGAAACTACGAGGAGATGAACACACTGAAACTTCTCTGTTTCAGGACTGAGAATGCATGATTCAGTGTGTGAATGTATGCAGGGGTGACAAGAGACTGTGACATGCCATACCCTTCTAGTGCCAAACATTGTATAACTGCAAGGTTGATATTGCCTGAGGGACAGATAACGAGTGGCACGAGCCCTACCAGAACAAGAAGCAGGAAAGACCAATCAAGTTCTCAACGTGTAGAGACAGCTCTGATTTTTCCCACCCAAGGTGAAAGTGATGTCTTTTAAAGGCTTTCAGCCACGTCTTAGTAAGTATATTCACCGAAGTATAATATAAGCAAGTTATGTGGAAGATCCTCTTCTGCCTGTTCAAGACTTGTGTCCAGATACGTCTAAAAATTACGTTGAATCTCTTGTAATAGAGTGCTTTTGCTGCAAGCTTTTGGGTTTTAAATACCTCCCTAAATCTAGTCAATGGTATCCTTCTTTATGTTAAAAGTATCCCCTGATGGTGCTTTCAGAAGCATTAAAGGTGCAAGTCAAAATTTGATAGTATTTTTTTTAAAGCTGGTGCAGAGTGAAAAACTCATGAATTATTTCAATATTTTTGTAAAGTAAAAATATGGTATAAAAAGGTTACTTTTTATAAACCTCAAATCTTTTAATACATTTCATTCTCTTTATAGCTTAGATTTTAAGAATTGGTCCATGAATTTTATCAACTGGCTTCTGCAGGTTGATATAAACCTGGTTTTCACACATTATGGATTTGTTTTGCAGTGAAATGCCATATGAAAGCCTACATGGGTACTTTTAGAATACTCTATAAACCGTGGATCCTGCTTCAAATGCGAGTGGCTTGTAAAGACGCCAAGCGATTCCATAAGAAACAATTTGCTGTAACTATTTCCATCCGTTTTAGGAGAGCGAAGCAGAACTGAAGAGTTACTGTTGTAAATGGCATCGTCAGGATGGAGAAGACCTGATGATTGGTATTGTAACCTTCACTGTCAGGTATATCCAGTGTAGTCACTGTTGTACATGCTGCTGGGTAAATTTCAGTCTTTCCTGTTATTAATATTTGTACTATGAAATGGCCGAGGTTACACAGCCTATGTTTATTTGTATGCGTTCAATTAGCCATTTTTAACGTTGACTTTTTTTATTAGTGAAACGTTCGATACCTGTTGTTCTTTGCTGGGGCAAGTTCCTCAAAACAAAACATCTGTGGAAGTGCAGGAATCTGCAAGTCAGAGGGAACTTTACACAGATCAGAAAACACCCGTGCTTCAAGGGTTTCTTAGGTATTTGCAAATTAAGCAGTGGCCAACTGCGTCTATAATAATTTTTTAAATAAAATAATTCTTTGATAGTCTAAACCTGAAGCTTTGTACAAAGTGATTGCCCTTCCCTCCATGGAGATATAGCTGATTATTTAGAGAAAAGCACTCATGTTTTGTCAGAAAATATACCACTGCAAGAACTGCTAAAAAAAGATTTTGGGAGCACATCCTTTGTCCTGTCAAATTCAGTAGGGCCTTCACTCCAGAATCAAACGCTAGGTCGCACAAGGAAATTGCTGCTTCTCTTTACAAACAAGGCAAATGGTAAACTTTGTAATCCAAGATGTGAGGGTTTCTTTTGGAAACAGTTCAATGTGTTTGCTGCTGCTTTAACAACTCAGAAATTTTAGCATGAGTGAGGCACAGCGGGCAGCGGTCTCGAGCCCTTTGGTCAGGGCTTACAGAATTGAAGAAACATTGCTTCGTACAGAATTTAAAGGGTTACGGTCTGGACCAGTGCTTGCATTCCAAGGTTTCTGAAGAAGGTTTGGGGTGAGTTTGTTTGATTTGCTCTTGTTTGGTTTTGGAAGGAAGGACACAGAGGCATTATTTATCCACGTGGTTTTTAATATCTGGCATTTACTTTCTTCACTCTCCCAGCATTTTTTATTTTTTTTAATAATGTTTGTAAATTTATCTTAAGCAAACCACTGTAAGGTCTGAGTGCACAGCGCCACACATAGCAGCACGTATACACAGCTTGTCTTCAGAATTCAATCTGGCTGTTTGAGGAAGGGGAAGAAGTCATTTTATACCAAGTCAAAATTTGCTTTCCAAAATCTTGCTCTGTTATGTTCATAATGTCAGTGATACTTGCACTGAGAACAGGATGGCCATTGAAATCTTCACACTCAGATGACTACATGGACAGTTTCTTAATTTGCTTTGCTGTGAACAGTCACATTAAAAACTGTGAGAATTTTTTATAAAAGTTGTCAAGATTAAACATAGTCCACGTTGAAATCCCATGATGGCCTTACAGAGAGTTAATAATCAATATGCACTATTCTTTTTACCACAGACAGTTTTAAGATCTATTAATAAAGTTCAATTAAGACAGCAATAGCAAAAAAAAAAATTGTAAAAAAATTTAACTTCTGCTTTTGAAATAATGAAAAAATCAGGTGTTTGAAATTTCCTTCCAGAATAACATACAAATTAAAAAATTCATAATTATATTCTGGTAAAGAAAAGCAATCACATCTCTTTGTTAGAAGTAAGAGTCATGTAAGCATTGTTCTAATGAATCAAACAAATTTGCCATCAGATTTAATAGTACTTATCTGGTTTAAAGACTTGGTCCTAAAATTCTGAGAGTTGTGAATTTGTGTGCTACAGAAAAGACAATTTAAGTAGCATTCACTACTCTAATTAGATAAAGGAGAGGTAATGAATACCCATGTTCATTCAGAAAACATATAAGAAAATGTAAGATAAACCTTTTGTCTTATTTTAAAAGAAATTTGTTCTATAGTAAGATAATCCTTTTTTAAAAAATGAATTCTTTAAAAATATGTGCAATACTT